ACACACGCCGGGAATATCCTTTCTTTCACCAGCCCTCTGCCCCTGCCTAGATTTGAAAACCTGCAGACAAGAGAAGTAATCACAGCCCATACTGAGTGGGCTCTTCCCATGTGTCTGGCTATCCACACAGCTAGACCAAATCCAAGAATAAAAGTGTGTGTGTGTGTGTGTGTGTGTGTTGGACCACATGCATGCCAGCATCTCTCCCATCTTAAGCCACACAGGAAAATTGTGTCTGGGGGCTGAGGCAGTGCCCTCCCATCAGGAAATGTGGAATACATTTCACCTGCTAAACACAGAAACTCTGTCTTCCTGGACAGAGGGACAGAGGGATTCCTAACACCAGGATTATCCTTAGGGTCCGTTTCTCTCCATCCAATTACTATAGCCCCCAGCTCCTTGGCAGCAGGGTTTGTGGGGTGCAGGCTTGGGAGCAGCCAGGAGGCAGTGCCAACCTCTGCTGTGCCTCTTTGAGTGACACAGCAGATCAGGTGAGGAATGAGAGGTGCAGGACCCCAGATCAGCTGAGCTACATGCCTGCTCTCTGCCCTTGTCGGGGAGAACAGCCTCCTGGTCTCAGGGAGCTCAGCCACCTGAACACTGGGGTCCTGGGGCAGTGCCAGGCCCCTGGTTTGTGGATGATGCCGGAGTGCTGGAGCCGGAAAGCCCTACACACACACACACACACACACACACACACCCCACCTACTTGGTACACAGATGCACAGATGTGCACACAAGATATCAGATCCCGAGGTCTCTACTGAGGGACTGTGCACAGCTCTGGGAGGGCAAAGATGCCCCCAACACGCCTCTGCCCTCCCAGGAGCTCAGGGTCAGGCAAGGGGGAATTACAGCCCCCACACATAAGTGTGCTGCAGTGCGCCACTGACTGACAGCCAGGAGTGGGGACAAGTGGGGCGGATCTGCAAGTACTGCAGCAGTTCCTCAGGGCAGGCCCCTGTAGTGGCTTTGAGGATTTAGAGCAGCCTCTGGAGGGCCCACCCCCACCAAATCCTGGAAACTGAGAGCAGGTCCCCTGGAGACAGACATTGCTAACTGTGAACTCCTATCTCCCCTTCAACTTGTCTTTGACCTGGGGCAGGGTTAGGAATCACACCTTCACTTTGCCACCAAGAGAACCTGCCTCCTAGAGCTGAGAGAATTAAATGAGATAATTCCCCTAAAGTGCCTGGCACATAATACGCACTCAATCAATGTTAACTATTATCATTAGCTGCGAAGGAAAGACTCAAGGAGAGGGAAGTGTGGGGGAGGGGTGGATTTCTGAACCAGAGGCTACAGGAAGTAGGCACTTGTATCCAAGAATAACAGCCTTCCAACGATCTCCTCCTCAGAGTCCTCACCTTCTCAGAAGAGCAGCAAACAGAACACAGGATCACAGAATAAGCTGGTTTCAAAAAGCATGAGGATCTGGTTTTGTTCCAGTGTAGGCTATCCTGTCTCAAAGCCATGCCCAGCCATTCAAGGAGAGGCTGAGGCTGAGGTCCCAGGGACATAGACAATCCACCCAGCAAGGACGGGGCAGAGAAGGGTGGTGGCCAGGATGGTCATTTGGAGGTAAACACCACTGTGCATCTCTGTCCCTTGGTCTAGCCAAGGCTGAAGGCCAGAAGTCCTTGGAAGACATTTGCATCTGACTTGTGATGTTTAATTAAAAAAAAAATAATAATAATAACCTGTGTGTTTATGTAGGGAGTTTTCCAGAAGGGCTCCAGGGTATCTCCTGACTTGGTTCATCTTGACTGTTTTCAAGGCAACCAAAAAAACAGGCATAAGAATGATAAAGTTGGGCTGGGGATGTGGCTCATATGGTAGCGCGCTCACCTGGCATGCGTGCGGCCCGGGTTCGATCCTCAGCACCACATACAAAGATGTTGTGTCCGCCGAGAACCAAAATATAAATATTAAAAAAAAAATTCTCTCTCTCTCTTTAAAAAAAAAAATAGTGCCATGACTCTAAAAAAAAAAAAAAAAAAAAAAGAATGATAAAGATTTCTGGAAAGGGGAGTGGGCACCACAACCAGCTGTCTTCCTTGTATGTTCTAGAAGTTTCCTGTTTGGTGTAGCTGGGAGTGGAGAGGAGATTCAATTTGGGAGCCCAAAGTATGCTAAAAGACAGAGTCCATTCTGGCCTCTCCCCACCTCTTTGTCTCAATGTGTCACATGCCCAGAGAACTCCAATCCCACCCAACACTAAATCACAGGTCAGTGCTCCCAGTCACCCAGCGACTGCTGTATTTTATTTGACTACATAGCCACACTTATAGGTAGGTGGTTTTCAGCTTTCTATGTCCTCTCTCTTCTGTTGGACTAAAATGTCCCAGTGGGCAGGGACTGACAATTCAGGATCAAAACAGAGTCTCAAGACAAAATTCAGGATGTCTGGCTACCTTTGAACTTCACCTAAACAATGTATTCTTTTTCTTTTTTTAGTAGAAGTATGTCTCAAATATGTTATGGGACTTACATATTCTAAAAATTATGATTATACATTTGAAAGTCAAACTTAACTGGGCATCCTAAGTTTTTATTTGCTTAGTGTGTACAAAGCACCCTGGATTGTGGATCTCCACCCACCTCACCTCCAGGGGTGTCCAGGACTGGAATGACACTGAAGGGCTAAATGGCTCTTTTGAAAGCAAGCTGGAGAGGGGGCAGGCAATAAGGAGCCTAGAGCTGCCATCAGGGATAGGCTGGTGCTGGAGGGGCTGGCTCTGGAGGGTGGGTACATTTGTACTAGGGCAGCTGTAGACTCTATGCCAGAGGCTCAGCCCCAAATGAAGGTCATTTGGAGAAAAAACAAAGAAATTTGGGTTCCAATGTTCAGGGTTAAGACATCTACTCACTGCCTTTCTTCTCTTACCTGAACTTGGGCTCAAAGACAGGGTTTATGACCCTTTGCTTGTGAAGTGCCTGGCATGAGCCGTCTACACCCAGGAGAGCTAGGGCTTGTGGGTCCTCCCATCTCAAAGGCCCTTGGAAGACATACTCTCTTGTCCCAGTGCTTGGGCCCATGACCTTATTTCTGTACCCTGGACAAGCTGTCTGTCCATCAGGACCTCAGACTCATCCCATGGGGAAGCTCAGTGCCCACGAGGAATGAACAGGGCAAGATGTTCAAATGCCGCCTGACATACCTGAGGACCTCAGTAAAATCACAGCTCCTGTCTCTTTTGGGAGGGGTTGTTCTAGGGCAGCAGGCTGCTCACCCCCACCTCAGCAGCTACTCTGGATGATGCATGGCCTCTGCTGCATTGTCTGTCGCCTGACCTCCAACTCGAGGCTCTGCCCAGGACCACCCCCAAAGGCCCTGCTACCAGCCTGGTTTCCAGGTCTCAGGCCACTAGTAGGCCTTCTTTTCAGGCATGGTGGAGAACTGCTGTTTTCCTGCCCTCAGGAGGTGCCATCCTCCACCTCCCCTCCCCTATGCCTCCTGGAGCACAGGCCACCCCCAGGGCCAGGCTCACTCCCCAGGGCGACTGCACAGACTTGCACAGGGGCTGCCTCACATTCTGGAGGTTTCAGTTCCCCTCAGCTGAAGAGCAGGGAGTCGAGGTCCCTGCCTGGCATGGGCCTTTGTGTACCAGCCAGTGAAGGACAGGCCCAATTCTAGTGTGGAGCAGGCAGTTTGCCAGCAACCGATGGCCCTCCTCCACTCGCAGGGTGGCAAAGGGCGTTCATTACACAGAGGGGGAGGGGTGTTTAACTCACTCCAAAGGGGGCTTGGGGTGATGGGAGGGACAATCCACAAAAGCCAGGGCTAGAAACTCCTGAGGGTTGTTTTTTTTTTTTTAAGCGCTTCCCTTCCCTCCTCCCCTCCCCCTCTGGGCACCCCTCCCCCACCCCTAGTCGCTGGTGGCCTGCAGCCAACACTGGCCACTCTATGCGCATCCAGGCTCCCGCCCTCCCAGCCTTCCTCTGCATCTCCTCCCCTGCCTTCCCAACTCTGCCTCTCTACCACCTCGCCCCCCACCCTGCATTCGGAAGCACTTTTTCTTCAGCCGTGGTTCCCCGCACCCGCTCGGTCCTAGGGGGGACGGCGGGGTTTCTTGGAGGCTCGGAGCAGCCCCTCGCCCACCAGGCCCCTGGTCCCTGGCCTTGCCGGGCATCCCGACCAGGAGCAAGATCGCTGTGTCTGCAGAAAATCGGCCACCACCGCCGCATTCCCGGGTCGCGGCTTCCCGGCCAGCCGAGCCGCACCCTTCGCCCCCTCAGGGACCTTAACCCCTTCCTCCCTCGCGACGTCAAGCGCCTCGGCCTTGCCACCCAAGGGGGATGGGCGACGAGTGCCAGCTCACTCTGCTCACTAAGGCACTGGGGTGGCAGGCCCTGCTCGCCCGGTCCCGGACCAACCCCCCATCCATCCCGCAGGAAGCCCCCTGCCCCCTCCGAGGCAGCGCTCGCTCGCTCGCTCGCTCGTCTCCAGTCGGGGCTCTGGCCTGGTGGTTTCGGGGACAGAGCCTGGCAGAGGGAGTCTCAGAGGCTTCCTCGGTGTGGCGGACCATGCCAGTGAAGTGAGAGGGTAAGGCTCCCTCCCCGCGAAACCTGCCCTACCAGTGGGGAGTACTAAGGGACAATATCGCTGGCCGGTCCGGGCCTGCGCTGGGTGTGTGGCGCCCCAGGGGTTTCTGGGGGACAAAGGTCAACAGTTGCCCGCAGGCATGGCACAGGGGCTGGCCCCACCCGTGCCGCTCACCGCTGCATCCCCTCCTCTGCTACTCAGCTCCTTGGGAACCGCCGGCCAGAAAGTCCTGGGAACAGGGATAGCTCTGGCATACCCCAGCAGGAATTCCCCTTTCCAGTTGAGCGCCTGCTTCCCCAGGAATGGGGTCAGGATCCTGGGCCAGCAGCACTGCAGCGAAACTAGTCCGTTCTGATAGTTCAAAGGTTTAGCGCAGGACTGGACAGTTTCCTTCCCAGACTAAGGCCCAGCCGCCTCCCCCAACCTTGGACATCCCCTCAAAACTACAAAAATGCACCTTCAACATCTCCATTTAATATTTACATTCAAGCAGGTAATAATTGGAAGCTTATAGTTTAGACATTTCTAGTAGCAGCAGGTTCTAGAGAGCTCGTTTAGCCTTTTAACAAACTTTTTTTTTTTTTTTTTTTTTGCACATAGAAACAACACATCCATGTGTACAGTATCAAAAAATATATACCAAGGTTCCTGGTATTGCAGTTCCTGGAGGGAGGAAATGAAATCAACAGAAATACTGAATGAAGGGTAAGAAAGGTCAACAGAAAATAGTTTGTCTGATATAGAATATAACATGATCTAGGGGAAACTCCATAAATCTAGGTTTTTATATTTCAATATATAAATACCTACAAATAAATATATATATATATATCAGCCCGAATGGGGGTGGTCGGGCCTTTTGAGCTCAAACAATACATTTCAATAATAACACCACGTACAAACGGGAGTAGAGTCAGCACTTGACAAGTTAGCACGGTTAAAATATAATACTATAACTCTGAAACCGCTGCGCGGCTGCCCTGTCAGTTCCGGAGGTCCATGGGGAGGGCGCGGCTCTCGTCTCCAGTGGGGAAGGGACAAGTGGCGGCGGCGAGACCGAGACCGCAGGCACCGCGTGGAAGGAGACAGGCCGTTGGAGGCGCCTCCACAGGGATCCCACAGCCGTGCAGGGGGACGTGGACGCTTGGGTGTCCTCAAGTTGGGGCCACTGGCACCTCCTGCAGCCCAGAGGGGGGCCCTCCTGAGGCGGCAAGGGCTAGGCCCCCGTGCACGTGCGGAAACGCGTCCCTTGCAGATGTCCTGCAGCTACACGGTCACGTATTCTTTGAAGGTGACGGTGAGGCAGTTCGCGGTGACGTCAGTGATAATTATATTTCCAAAGAAGGGCTTGAACTCGCTCAGCGGCTCTGCAGGCTCGAACTGGGCCTCGGCGGGAGGCTTCTCTGCCGCTGTCGCTGTCGCTGGCGCCAGCACTGTCGGTGCTGCTGTGGTGGAGGGCACCTCGGGCTTCACCTGGAGGGAGCTGGGTGGTTCCCCGGCCTCGCTACGCGTCTTCACGCAGCGCAAGTCTATGGGCTCGTCCAGGTCCGAGTCCAGCAGGATGACCTCTGGCTGCGGGAGTGTGGCTGCAGGCGGAACATCAGCGGGGCGCTCCGCGGCAGGGCTGCCCCCCAGGCAGGTGGGCGTGCTGATGCTGCGCGCTGTCAGCCGCTTCTTGCAGGGCTCGCGCTCACCGTGGGTCTCAGAGAGGCAGCGCTTGCGTGCATGGGAGAGATTGAGGCCCACAGCGTGGTGGTGGTGGTGGTGGTGGTGGTGATGGTGGTGGTGGGTGGGTGGGTGCGTACTTCGGGTCGTGTCCCAGGTGAGCAGGTCCGGCTTGGTGGTGAGCTGCAGGGGCTGCTCTCCAAAGGCTTCCTTGGTTGGGGAGAGCTTGCGGGAGCTGGCGTCCTGGGGCTGCGGGTCCCCAGGCCCTGGTGCCTCCTCTTCCCTCCTCTTGAAGGACACGTCCGCCTTCTTTTCCTCGGCACCACTGGTCGACTTTTTAAAAGTCCTGTCGGCCGGGGGGTGGCGCTCCTCGGTGGCACGCTTCTTGTGACTAGGGGAGCGGGCTTCGCTCTCTGCTGCCTCGCCAGACTTGATCTTCACCGCCTGCATGCCATTCTCCATGTACTTGCTCATGACGATCACAATGCGACCGTTCTTGTTCTTGTTCTTGACGATCTTCATTTTGCCCCCAATCCCATTGCCTGTCACTGCTTCTTTGGGAGCCGGTGTCATCCCGTTGGGAGGGCCCTTCTCAGAGCCTTTGCCTGGAGCCCCAGCGGCTCCGGCCAGGGGCTTCACTGCCCCTAGGTAGCTCTTGGCTGATGCGCCGTGGGCCCACTTGTCCGGTGGGTGGCTCTTGGCGCCCAGGTCTGGGCAGGTGGGACTCGGCGCCTCCTTGTGGCCACCCTGGTACTGCAGGTCATACATCTTGGGGTCCGGCTGGTAGGGGTGGTGCTTCTTGCTATTGAGCTGATAGTAATACTTTCCACTCTTGCCTGGTGGCGGGGGCTTGCCTGCCCGTTCCTTGCTGTGAGGCTGGTACTGGTGGTGCTTCTTGCTGTTGAGCTCGTACTGGTGCCCCTGGCCCTTTCCTGGCGTGCCCAACTCCAGCTTGGTGCGGTTATCAGCAGAAGAGTCCTGGAGCCCAGTCAGGACATTGGAGCGACGGGCAAAGGTAGGTACCTGAGGGGGAAGCGAGAGGAGGGAGATGGTACACCCCAGGCTAACCAAGAGCATCAGTAGTGCCCCAAATCCCACAGTCCGCAGCTGTGTCATAGGGGCTGGGGCACAGGAGGTCAAAGACAGAGGAAGTGCAATTTGGGTGCTCCTGCGGAATCCCCCCACCCTCCTGGCCTGAAGGCAGCTCCCATATACGTCTTGGGAAGAGGGTGGGGCTAGCAGCGAGTGTTTACCTGCACCACCAGTGGCTTGGGCTTTGGCCCTCTCTTGCGATATCCCATCAGTTGCTCCTGCCGTTCCCTGGGGAGGGAATGGAGAGCCGCAGGATCAGCCTCAGGGTCACCTCCCCCAATCTTCAGTGACGCCCACCCTCCTGCCTTGCGACCATCCGGTAGGCAGTGAACAGGGGATGCATAGAGGATAAAGAGTTCGAAACAGAAGACCACCTCTGCAGCTGGCTGGGCACCTCCATCAGCAGCAACCCCTTTAGGTCGGGTCCTTGGTAAAGAGCTTCCCCATCTGAAATCTCTAAACCATCACCCCCAGTCTCTGTGAAGGGGGTTGGGTTGTTAGCACTGGGACTCAGCCTCAGGCCGGTGGCTCTGAGTAAAGTGGAGTGGGAGCAGAGATCCAGAGATTGTGAACAGCCCAAACGAGGTGTGTGCCGACCTCGGCAGAAGCAGGGGATGCTAACAACCTCATTAAGATTCAGATAACGAGAGCTGCCGGCAGAAGGGAGGACTCATTTTCTTAAAGGCCAGGCACTAAACAGGGGGAGGGGCTGCGCCCTTGTTTACACAGCGGCAAATGAGCCAATTAGGGGCTGGGGGCGGGGGACGGCCGAAGAGGCCAGGGTCTGGCCAGGTTCTCAGCCACCTGGTGAACAAGCCGGGCACCGCCCCCGCTGAGCCAGTGGGCGGGGCAGGGGCGGGGCAGAGAAGTACAGCCTCTCGTTGGAGCCGGATCCTCGCTGCATCGATTCCCAATTATTAATAAAGCCCATGGGTGGTGGCACGAGTCACAGTCGCCAGGTTTCTACTTTCAGGCAGGCCAAAGCGAGACCCGCTTGCGAGCAAACGTCCCAGGCACTGCCCAGCCCTTTGAGGGAAAGGAGTGCACTCCTCTACAGTTCTGCCCAAGTTATAGTCCATTACCAGGCCAGACAACCGTTCTCCAGTGACCCTAGTTAATCACTCCCACCTCACTGCCCGTGGGCTAACCCAGTGGAGTTCTGCCATGCCCTGGGGCCGGGGCAGGGGCCTGACTCTGATGTTGCGTGGCATTGCAACAGCCTGCGTTTTAATTCTTCAGGGACCCATTATGCAACATGGCATCAGCCGCTGACATGGTTACAGGGTGGTGAACTCCCAGGTGGAGTCGGGGCAGGATCCCTGCCCGGCGCCCCCCTGTGTCGCGGGAGAGCAACTTCCCTGCTGGTGGCCTGCTCAAAGGGTCTAGAGTTTAGAGTTTTAGCGCCAAATACACCACAGGAAATAATGCAAAATAAAAGGGGAGGAGGGATGGAAGGCAGCAGGCTTCTGAGGTTCCTGCTGCTCCTCCCCTCCCCCTTCCCCCTATCCTCCCCAAACAGAACCACAGCCACTGGCAGCGAATCCAGCTGCAGCAGCTGCAAAGTGACAAGCATCTGTGGGCAGAAGAATGAGCTCCCCCCCCCCCCGCCCCCAAGAGGACACCTCTCCACCACCATCGGAGTCCACCCCATGCCCTTGGGCCAACCTCCTCTGCCCTGATGAGGCACCCTGCCCCACCAAAGAGACTGGTGGGGGATGTGAAGGGAACAGAGCTCCAGTCAACACTGCCATCCCCAGATGGGGTGAAAAGGGGTGAGGGGAGGTTTCAGGCCTTGCCAACTTTTCTCCAGCCACCAACAGGTTAAGTTCAGTTCCATGACGTCCAGGCAGTTTCACAATGCCAGCTCCTTTGGAGCTGCCCCCGGAGGTGCCAGTGCCAAGCGGCCAGTGGCTGCAGGAAAGCAACACCTAGGCTCTGGGGGTGGAGCTCCAAGGTTGCCGCCAGAGAAGGGCCACAGGAGTTCTCCAGGTCAGTTGCAGGGCTACCCACAGACACTTTTCTTGCAGTTCCCCAAAACACATGCCTCGCCTTCCCCAGTCCTGCCCTGCCCCCACTCCCAAGCTGCAGCAACCGCCAAGGACATTGGTTAGAAGAGCCGAGGCCACAGCCTTGCCAGTCCAGACCCGTTGTGGGGTGGGTTCCCCCTTTCCCTCTTTCCCATGCTGGCATGGCCCACTTTCCTATTCCCATATACGGTCATGGAGGCAGGCAGTGGTAGCTTGGGGGACGCTCACCTGTTCTGGAAGGCAATCAGCAGCCGGGGATCCAGGATGTTCTCCTCCGGTTCCCACGTGTTATATCTTGCAAGGGAAAAGGGAGGGGGACATGGCTTAAAAAAAAAAAAAAAAAAAAAACCCGAGCCAGCTTTGCAGCCTCCAGGTGGGGAATGACATAAGGCCCTACTCTGTCTTCATGAACCAAAAGCTATTTAGCTGTGGATGTGGAAGATAGATTTCTTCAGGCCTGACAAGATCCCTGATACACTGCCCCCTCCCAAGTCAAAATAAACACACAAGGGCAGGAAGAAAAGGGAGGGGTAAGGAAGATGAAACTAGCAGTTTATTTTGCAGTTGTCAAGAATTTTAAGCATGTTACTGCAGACATGTTCCAAAGCCACTTTGCTCACCAGGAACCCTGCGTGCAAAGCAGCCGAAATGCAAAGTCGCAAGTCCCCCTCCTCTTCTCCCCAGCCCCGAGTTTCCGAGAGGGCTTCAGCCCTTCTGCATTTGACCCCTAATCCGATAACCGCCAGCCCAGAGGTCCCCCACACCCCCTCGCGGCCCTGGAGCTCGCTGTCACGGGCAGGCAAACCCCAAATACTCTGCAACACAAAAATATGCCTCTGTGTGTGTGTGTGTGTGTGTGTGTGTGCGCGCGCGCGTGTGGCTGCGCGTGTCTCCATCCGGTGCCTTCGCATTTCAAATTAAAGAAAAAAATTCCCCACCAAAAGCTCTGCAGTGACAGTTCCCAACATTTTCTGCCTTTTTTCTTCCCCTCCCTGCACCACTAGGAGCGAGGAGGCACACAATTGCATTTTCGTTGCTTTTAATTTTTTTTTTTTTTTTGGTTTTGCAATATGGAGCCGTTCGGTGGAGGGAAAGGGGAAAGGAGCCATTTTCTGCTGCACATCAGTCAGTGCCTGCGCCCTCCCTCCCTCCGCCGGCCTCCCCGGCTCGGCCCCGCGTCTCTCCAGCTCCTCCGGCTCCTTTTAGTGCATAAATTAGTGATGGCATTTCCCGGAGAGCGGAGCACAACACAGGGCGCCGGGCTCGGGCTCGGCTCGGCTTCCCAGTGCCTGCCACCGACTTCCCCACCCCCTCCTCCTCCACCCCACCTCCACCCCGCCTCCCGTCCGCTCCCCCACCACCCCACCAGCTCGGCGGGTCCGGCAGCCCGGCGCCCCGCGCCTCGACACCCCGGCCCCCGCCCCCGCCGCTACTTACTTGGGGGACCAGCCTCTCCATTTCACCAGATACTCCACTCTGCCCTGAGGGGGAAGAGACAGCACTCCATCAGCTTCCGCGGGATCCCCGGCTCCGGCCCGCAGCCTCCCCACCCCCTCCCCGCCTCTCGCGGGTGCTCCGGCCGCCGCTCCCGCGCCGCTGCGCCGCCGCCCCCGCGCCGCCCTACCTTGCGGATCCGCTTCTTCTCGATGCTCTCCACCGCGAAGACGTGCTCGCCAACAGCTGGCAGCTCCATGGCCGAGCCGGAGCGCGCCGGGGCGCCGGGCCGGCAAGGCTGCAGACGCTGCTGGCTCCCGCCGGTGCCCAACTGCCGCCGGATTGAGGGGCCCTGTCGCCCTTGCTGCCTGCGCCGCCTCCACCGCCGCTCGCCCCGCAAAGCCCGGCTGGTCGCCGCTGCCCGCGCCCTCCCGGCTCCCGGCTCGCGCTCGCTCAGACAACTGAGCCCGGGCCGCGGCTGCACAAGAACTCATGCAAATCCCGGACGTCAGCGGGCGGGGCCTCACAGGGCCAGCTCGGCGTCAGGGGGCGGGCCGTGGCGCGGATTGGCGCAGCCTGGCCTACCGGAGGCCCCGGGCCTGGGCGGCGGGGAGGAGGAAGGGCGCGGGAGGGGGCCGGGGAGAGGAGGCCGGGGAGGTGCAGGGGAGGGATCTGCAAGCTGGGAGAGGGAGCTGGAGAGAGGGAGCGGGGGCCGGATAGAAGAGGTGTGTCGGCCTGGGGCGGCGGTTGTGGCCAGCTGGATCACGACGACGATCCTAGCCAGAATCTCGGCCCTGGGCCTTCTGCACCCCGGCCTCTCATTCTCAGTGTGTTCGTCTCGGGGACCCCTGCTGGGGGCCACGGAAGCATCCACCGCAGTTTACGGTTGCTCTGAATTGCGTCATGGGCGGCTCCAGAGGCACAGGGAACGGCCGGCAGGGGGCGGAATCGGGGCGGGGGCAACTCGCATTCCCACCCTCTTCGCCCCGTAGCCCCGCCCATCGAGGGCGAAGGCATTTAGGAAGAAGAGAAAGGGCGGGGAGAAGACTGAGGATTGAGTGCAAAGAGACGTTGAAGAGGACAGAGGAATAGCTGACCCTGGAGCCCTGGCGCTCAAGAACCTCACCAGAAAGGGACTCCTAGTCTGATCCCACCCCGGTCCTGAGCGGCTCCCATTTTATTCTTGATCCGCTTATTGGCAAGGCGGGGTCGGGATGTCCTGATTGTAGCAGCCCCCAGCGCCAAGAAGGACGAGAGGCGGAGAGGACAGGCAGAGGGTTCAGGGCATGTCTGGGTCTGCCTGGGGAACGGAGGGAACTTCGTGGAGACCTGGGAGACCTGCCTTGGGGTCCTGGGAATAGTCTCGAAAGAAGGAGAGGGTAGAGTAGAGGTTGGCACTGCTTGGGGGAAGAGCGCTTAGCGCGAAGGGGAGGTGAATGGAATGATTGGGAGTCACTCATTCCTCATGAATTCGCGTCCGCAGGTCCCGGACAGGCAGCCAAGTCGAGGCCTTGCGGACACCGCTGGGGAGCCGCAGAGTGTGAAGTTTAGCACCTCCGCCGGCTGGCGAGACAGTGCGTTCCAGCGTGCAGTTCCAGCGGCCAGTTGGGGGAGCTGCTGCGCCCTCACGGCCTCCGGAGGGCGCCGCCGGCGGGTCCGCGAGCTCCGTGGGGTCGGGATGTGGACCTGGCAGGAGAGGACGTCCCTAGTTGGAGGGTCAGGAGTGCTCCTGGCCTGGGGTGTGTCCGGGTCGTTCCCGCACCCCCCCCCCCGCCCCCCGGGCTTCTGAAGGACAGTGAGCAGGAAGTTTGCGCAATCCCTTGGCTGAGTGTCCCCGAGAAAGAAAAAGAGCAAAAGTTGCCCGAGAGTGGAGCGAGCAGCCGGGTGGGGGGCGGAGGCAGCCAAAGAGCCATCGGGTCTCCACTCCAGCCTTGACACACGTCCCAGAATGCCGGGTGGGGACTGCATCACTGCAGCCAGGGAAGAACGAAATGTAGAAGGGAACCCCCAAAGCCTGCCGGGGCTCGTGTTCTCCCAGAAATCCACGAGGAACCTGCAGGGGGTCTGGTGTTAAACACGCATGTTGATTCCACCATTTCACCTCCACCTCACAGCTCACAGCCGCCGGCCGCTGACCAAGCCCAGCTTGGCTCCTCCTGGGAGGAGTGTTAGAGGTGGGAGGTCGTCTTCTGACTGCAGAAGAGATGGGCTGGGTGTGCTGTGACTGATACCTCAAGAAGTGTGTAAGGTGGGGGTGCAAAGTGGGACAACACCACCTGTTTTCCCCCCTGCTCTCCAGGCTTACACACTCTGGGAGGCAGGGGCACTAGAAAAGGGTTTTATCCCGATGTTTGCCTTTTTCCTGACACTTGCCCAAGGGGAGAAACTGTTGCTTGGGACAGCTTGGCACTGAAAGGAGAGTCCTCCTGGAGGCCAGAGTGTGAAGCGCTGTCATTGGGACAGTCACCTATCCATCTGGAGCCATACAGGCAGTCCATGCCGCCTTTTGGTCTCAAGGTCTACAGGGAACTTGTCCTGGCCGGTCCCCTTGTCCGGGAAGAGGCTGAGCTTCCCGACATTCTATCCGCCCCCTAACTCGAAAATCCCCTGGAAACGTGTTTGCTCTGGGTGTTTCCAAGGCGTGCAGGTTGGGGGCTCTGAGGGGAGGGCGAGCTGCCGCTGCAGCCTCCCAGCCGCCAGGGGCGTGGGACTGCTTAGGTGGTGGTTTGGCTCGATGGGCCCAGGCCCCTCAGGGGCCCATGGTTAAGACCTCGAGGGCTGTGTGGCGGGACCGGTGTCCGGACCGCGAGTTTGCGCAGGAACCGGGCTGGGCCTGCGGCGGCGGAGATGGGGAGGAAGGAGGGATCCCTCCCTTCGGCACAGCGTATCTTTTCTGAAACTTCCTGTGTGGCGGCTCCAGGAGCCTCCAGTCCTCCCCCCACCCAAGACTGCGGGAGGGGCCGCCCGGAGGCACCTTAGAAGCCCGAGTGCCGCCGGCCACCCCCAGCCTCGCTCGGGGCCTTCCTGTGGAAAGTGGCAGAAACAGAAGTACCCACTGAATGCCGTAACTCGCTTCCCTCCCGCGATTATTTGTCCTGGTGGAGCGTGGGCAGATATGGAGAAAGGCTGACTCCAAACCCCTTATCCCTATTCTAATCCCGACAGCCGGCCTTAGACCCCCTTCCTGCCGGTGCGAAGAGACAGGGTCCGCGGAAGCGCCGGTGGGCTGCAGGGAGGAGGTGGGACAGAGCCTGGGAGGCGACAGTGGGTGCCCCTAAAACTTTCCTGGAAAGGCTCCCATGGAGCCGCCCCTACCATCCCAACCCCCTGTCTTGGCCCCTCGGAAGGAGCCGCAGGAGAGGCGGCCCCAAACCCGGGATTTCCAGAACCTTCTACTGGGGCCCCTGCCCACGATCTGGGGTGCCCAGAGCCCCACGTGCAACCCTGATAAGATTCGCGGGTCCGTGCATTTGACGATGTCTCCTCCCAGACAAGGAGAGGTCGCGCCCTGGGCTCTGGGTAGGGCAAAAGCTCTCCGAATTCCACCTCGTTCTGGGGCCCCCAGGGGCCTTCAGGGGCCCCAAGAGAGAAGTTATGCCCCCTTGCCAGTCGTAGGCTCGCGCCTGGAGGAGAGAGGCTGAGGAGCGACCCTGGATAAGTCGGGAACTTTTTAATGACAGTAGACTGAAGGATGGTTACTGAGGATCCTATCTCAGAAGAGGCATGACCCTGCCAACTCAGAGAAACAAACGACTTCTTAAAAGAACCCCCTCATGAAATGAGTGCGCTAGGCAAAGGACACTCTCACCGCCGCCCACGAAGCCAGGTCTGGGCTCTGCTCGGAAGGGGCGGCCTGTGGATTCCCGGACCAGCTGCCCCCAGGTGGATTTCAGATAGCCTAGGGGGAATTCAGTAGTAATGACTACAAATCTACCCCGGCTTTGGCAAGAGCTCATTTCTCTCCCCGTCCCTTGGTAGGGGAATTGTCCTTGACTAAGCGCTAGCTTTTATAATACTGTATTTATTTATTTATTTATTTTAGTGGCGGCTGACCCGACTGTGCTGGGGTGGCAAAGACTGTGCGGGAGCGCTACACTCCGCCCCTCCACCCTCCAGGAAGGGCGGCTTTGTTTCTAAGAGCGCCCCTCCAACCACTGAGTCCCCCCTCCCGTGTTTCTGGTCTTTGTCACACCGCCCACGAAGAGTCGCTATTCATTTGTGCTAGGAAGAACCCGACGCCCCCAGGTCCCACCCCAAGGGCTGCGAGGGGCTGGAGCCCAGGACCCAGGCGGACCAGCCTCGTAGGATGCGCGGGCGGGGACACGGGCCCTGAGGACCTTAGGCTGTGGCCCTCTGGCAGGGCCCGGCACCCCCCGGGGCCACATGGACGCCTACACGGCCGTGCCTCCGCATTGCGGCACGCTGGGGTCGCAGGCGCCGAAGCGGGACTCGCTGCTGCCGACTGCTACGTCCGCTGGCCCGTCCTCTTCCAGCGTCAGGCAGCCGCCCCAGGTCGGCCGGGAGAAGCCCCCGGACCCCCGCCTGGCGCTCAGTCGCGAGGCTCCGCCGGCCTGGAGATCTGCGCCCTCGAGACCATATTTCAAATGTGATCTTTGGAACCGATGCCACTGCCCACCGCCGCCGTGGTCGCCGCGCGCTCACAACGGCCTGGGAGCAGCGTGCGGTTTTTATTTGGGTTTCGTTGGCCCAAGGCCTCGCGGCGGGTCTCGTCTGCCCCTGAGGCGCGCCCCTCCACGCCCGACCCTGCGTTTTGCTCTCGGGTGCCCCCGTCGCGCGCCCAGACCCAGCGGGGCCCACACACAGGGCTGATTTCTTTCTTCCTTTTTCCAAACAAGAGCTCGCTGCTGCAGCAAGCCCGGGAAGGAGATGAAAATCGCTCGGCGGACCCCGAAGTGGTCGTCAGCCGAAGCGCCACGGCCACGCCGCCTCCCCCGCCTCCTTCGCCCGGGCCTCGCGGCTCGCCTAGGGTTAAGCGCGCGCCCGAGGGGGTATTTGACATGGGGGGAGCGGGAAGAGGGGGCGCCGGGCGCCGCAGGCAGGGAGGCTGGGCTAACGCTCGTTCTCTCTCCCCACCCGGGGCAGAGGGGCGGGCCCGATCGGAAGAGCCCGGTGCGTCTCCGCCTCCTCGGCTGGCCGGGAGCCCGGTCTGGCCGCGGCCCGGAACCGCGAGGACTCTGCTCTGAGGCCGCGTCCTGCGTAGCTCGAATGGGGGAGGGGGCGGAGGCTCAGAGCCGCGACCGCGCGTCGCCGCCCGCCGATCGATCCCCAGGGGTGGGGGCGTAGCGAGCCCCGTTGGACACCTGGGGGGGTATCCCTGCAGCCCAAACGAAGAGGGTGCTCAGGGAACCTATGGCCATGGGATGACGGCCGCTAGGGCCCAGCCGGACCTCAGCTCGGCCTGTACTGGGGACGGGTGGTAACGCCTTAGCACCCCCTAAAATTCCATTTTGGCTGCGTTGGGCCGGGCTGTGTTGGACACTTCCGGAGCTCGGTCTGACCGCAGTACAACTTCGTCCCTCTTTGTCCAGGCCCCGGCCCCACCCCCACCCGTGATGACGAGGTCGTAGGACGTGGTCACCCAGTCCTACGTGGTCACCCAGTCCCTTGGCCCAGCCCTCCTGAAACCTGAAATGTGTGGGTATCCCTTTGACCCCATCTCCGAAGGGTACCCCAGATTTGCCTAAGAAGTCCCCCTCCCCAGCTTCTTCCGGTAGGACGTTTCTTTGGATGATTTCTAAGAACTCCCGAGGCATCCCCTGGGCTCCTCACCTGCCAGCTCTGGGTGCCCAGGCGGGGCCCGGGTAGCGGCTCCGAAGAGCCTGCACTCGCTACGCCCTCCCCTAGGGGGCGGGCTCCCCACGGGCTGGCTGGTGGCTCGGGGCCTTCTGCCAGGGCCGTCCCTCAGCACCTCTCCCGCAGTGGCAAGGGGGTCTGTACGCGGGGCAGAGTCGGGGTGTGTGTGAGGCGGGGGTTGGGCGGAGAAGCCCTGCGCGCCCTGCCTCCTGCACCCTGCCCCGCCTCTCACTCCTAGCCCGGCGGCTGCCCTTACAGCCACATCTGAGGGACTTTGGACCTGAAGAGCCCTTGCACACCTAGGACTAAACACACCTCAGTAGCGAGGGCCATTGTTTCCCTAACTGGGCCCCTTGCTCAGCGCCCTTCCTCCCAGGGGGGCAGTCGGCCAGAAGGGAGTACACATCTCTTTTTATTCGAGGTGTTTAAAGGAAACCTCATGTCTACAGCGTCACCGAGTCCCTAGTTCTGCTGCAGTAGGAAACAACTGTTAGAACAGTGCACATTTCTCCAGAGACCCAGCCAGCCTTTCTGTAGGAAGAAGTGTCCTGGGGCAGAGCCTAGAACCAAGCCTGGCCAGAACCTGCATACCCTAAAATATGGTTTGCTGACTGATAAAATGCCCTTCTTAAAAGAGGTGCGTGGTTGCCTGTAAGGGCTGCATACTAGTGGTAGACTAAACCCCTCAGAGATACCCTGGTTAGGAGGAAGGGGACGCCAAGACCTCCACTCTGGTGGAGATAGCGACTTTGAGAAGTGCAGGAGCTAGTCAGAATAAGTCTCGAGATGATTTATAATCCCTGGATGAAGTTTTATATGGGGTTGGGTGTGTCTTATTTGTATGGGCTCTGACAGACCTGTGCATATGGCTGAGTGTGAGGGTGCGGAACAGCCCACGGGGACACTCTCCTGACTGGCCGGGGCCACTTCTCCACCAGGCCTCAGAGGCTCAGTGCAAGGTCCCAGGGCACTGGTAGGGACCCAGGAAATTGTTCTAGTTTCTTTTCTTTTCTTTTCTTCTTCTTCTTCTTTTTTTTTTTTTTTTGTAAATAAGTTATCTATTTAAAAAAATGTTGCAAAATACATAGAACCTACATTTCACCATTTTAACATCCCCCCGTTTTAACCCTTCTTCACGTGCTCACAGTTCAGGGGCATTAAACACGTTCACACTGCGATCAGCAGCACCTACCTCTGGAACCTTTCATTTTCCCAAATTGAAACTCCTTCCCCATTAAACACTAACTCCACATCCTCCTCCTCTGGCCCCTGCAGCTGCTG